AAAAAAAAAAAAAAAAAGACAGAATAAAGCCTTGGTTATAAATCGGGTGAAGAAATCTTTCCATCTTTTTGTGGCAGGTTCAACTGGACTGATGGCAAATTGAACAGCAGCAACTTGATTGAGCTTTCAGGTCAGATCACAGAAAAGTTTGATGAAGAGTTCCGGATTCTTTATGCGCAGTCTCTTCCCATGAACACCCGAGGACCCGCAAGTGCACAAACCAGTGAGAGCTTTGAGCGCGTTCCCAGCAAGCATCTGCTCACCTCCTCCCCGTACCTGAGCAGGGAGAGGCCCCCGGGGCAAGCGCGGGTGACCAGCACACCGGGCCGAAAAGTCAGCCCTTTATCTCTGCCGCTTCCCTGTGAGGAAATCGCCCCAGAAGAAGTGGTTCGAAACGGCAGCGCCGCATCCAACTCGTCGACGATTGGTGACGACTGGTTGGATCCGCAGCACATGGAAGAAGAAATCCTGGCCGCTGGTCCCAGCCCCCCGGCGGAGCAGCCTGACGCAAGCGAGCCTGCCCCACTGAGTCGAGCGCCCTGCCACGCGGCCACTCAGACCAGTTTTTCAGCGGCGGACGGTGACACCCGGACGGACGTCCGGCTCACCCGGCACCCCGATCTCAGCCGGTCCATGGCCGCATTCAGCCAGAACAAGGCCGCCTCTCTCGGGATGAGCGCCTCCGCCCAGGCAGCTCCAACTGGCACCGTGAAAGAGTGCCTGAGCAGTCTGACCAAAGAGCGCCAGCACCACTACACGGCCATCCGTTCCAAGCTGGAACACATGATGGCCTCTCTGTCCCAGCGGCGGGACCTCGCAGACATTGCCGTCATGACTCGGGGCAGGCGAGGGCTACACAAAGCTACGCCGGTGCCGGAGCCTCGACTACTTGCTGGAAATGCCGCCGTTGTCACATGATGACAGATGTTGACACGAGCTCTACTCCCTCTCCCACCCCCCAAGCCAAATTGCTGCCTTTTTCTACGTGCTGGCCGTATAATGCTGGGTGCAATGGTGACAGAAGAATACTTGATCACACAATGTAGCAATTGTGCATTTCTACTGCTTGCTGTAATGAATAACTTGCAGATGTCGGTAAATCGGATGTTGCAGACCACTTTCGTCAGACCGATGCCGGGATGGGTATTCCTTCTTTGACTACTCATCTATACCGATACCTCTACTACTTTTGAGATATAAAATCCGTGAAACACACTGAGAAGAAATTGTGAAGATCTTTCTTTGTGACGTGTCAAATTGTCACCGTGTGCAAAATTTGAGCACATTTGTCATTTGAGAAGCACGCCGTTTCTAAGAGGTTGGTGACCCCTGTGATGCAGTGCGGATGAACGAAAGTGCCTTGCTGCTGATGTCGGTGTTTCAATCAAACATGCCTGCGCTACATGGATCTATATATATTTGCTCATTGTGCCTCGCTCATAATAAATTCTCTGTTTTACTTCTTGATTGCGTCCATTTGTATCTTGAATTGCGAACAAGTTGGAGGCTCAGAAGCTTCCGAACACACAAAGAAGCTAAAGTGCCACCGTGACTAAAGAGAACAAGCGCCAGTGCGGCGCCAGAGCTTTTTTTCTTTTCTTTTTTTTTAACTCTGGTGTAATTTGGTCGAGAGACCAAATTAGTCAAGATGGCATCTGAGACACTGGCACCTCTTTGGAGAAGTTCTGGCATCAATCATGGACATAGACATGAGCACTGTTTACACACACTAATTTGACTGAAATAGCTAATTTATTTATCTAAAAAAACAAAACGAATCATTATTCATTCCCAGCAGTCAGAAAATGGCATATTTCCAGACAGAAGAGAAGCAGGGGGTAGGAATTTTGTTCCTCGCTCCATATTAGCGATGCTCTACTGAACGCCCATGTGAATCGCAACAAAAAAAAGTGGCTTTGCACGGACGCAAATGCTGCTGAGCCTGGCATGAACAGTGTTTTCAACTTCCCATCGTGCACCCAAGGCCCTGCTGTGAAGGATCAAAACACATCAGTCTTGGCTGTGGTATTGAAAAGTGTGTTCAGTTTTCATCCCGCTGAGCTTGATGTGTGGAATGTTTCGCTGCCCGAGGTGCGACTCTTCCGTATCAATGTTTTCAGATTTATCAATCCGCAAAGGATGAAGCCTGTAGGGATTTTGGCAGTGCAAGAGTCTGAGCCTACAGATCCAAAACAAAGAGTTAATTAGTCGAAGAACATTTGGTTATATGCACTTATTTTGTTCGTTTTCTTTTCGATACAAGTGTATTTACAATTTTACAGAATGATAAGATAGAACATGAA